TTATCGGCAACTTTGTTGGGATTCATCGGCAACTTGTGGCTAAGCCTACTGCACACCCCAACCAAGAATTCCCAGGAACACGCCCCAGGCCAGCACCCCCACTCCCAGGGGAAGGGGGTACTCTGGATTCCATGTGACAGGGATGATAGAATGGGGCAAAAATCAAAACCCCCCAAAAATCCCTAGACCAAACTTTAACACCAAAAAATCCCATGCCGAATATGCGAGCCATAAAAATTTCCAGAAAGCATTAAATGATATAACACCAAAAAAGGAAATATTAGTTTGAATACCCAAAATAATCCCTGCTTAAGTCAAACTACCCCTGAAAAATTTTGCAAATATTTTCCTACCAATAAGCATCCTTAAATCGAAAATTTCAAACCCCCAAATCCTTCGATCATCCCTGTCACTTAAAATCCGGAGTACCCTTCCCCCCCGCTCGGGGGACCCCACTACCCGTAGCCTGAGGTTTAATTTAAATAACCGCCCCAAGTTTACAAGTCAAAATAACCTTCTTTCTCTGAAAGCATGAAGTCCTGGGAGATTTTAATACTTCGGGTCTGTCCAAATCCTGAGCTTTACCTAGTCGTGAAGTGCAAAAATGTTTTCTGAAAAATAAACCACACCTAGATTTTTGTATTTGAGTGGGCTTTTTAATACGGACGGCGGAGCCAGACTCGGCACTTCTGCATGGAGGCGTCTTCAAACATAGATCCGTGGCTCAAAATCTCTTATTTTTCGAGTAACAAAATATTTTCTACGCCATCTCTATTTTTCTGCATAGAATATGAAAAAACAGCATCAACTACAAAGAAGCGCGTCAGATCTAGACTTACTAAGCTTACCTTTTTCGCTGCAGCACCTTGTCGCATTTCTTGCGTTTTTCCATATAAATATTTTACCGCCTTTTGACATGTTTCACATCTAATATAAGGAAGGTCCTCTTTAATAGCATAGTATTTTTCTTTCTTTGGAAGTTGCCCGACTACTGTAGAAATAAATAATAATAGGCAGAAGTAAAAAACACAAAGTGTTTTTGCCGCCATCTTAGAACGGATTGAATGTTGAATGCATCGTTGAATGTGCGCTGAGGGCCGCGCTGAGGGGGAACTGGGGAAGAAGAGACCACGTGTCAGACTTAGAGAGCGGACTTGAATCAGCCAATCAGAGAAGAGAAGAAAACGTACCAAAACGTTCTGGCCGCCATATTGTTTCAGACATTGCCTTGAGTGTTTCGGCAGGTTCTGCTTTGTTTGCATCTCTAAACTGCAACGTAAGTTGAATTTGTGCAATTTTATATAGGGCTGTACGCGTCCTTAATTGGCAAAGAAGGAGAAATGTCTAATTTTCTTCTGCAAAATGCAGGAATCAGTGCGTTCTTCGAAGACGACGACGACTTCTTTGGAGAAGACACTGCAATGTGCAGCGAGGTGGACGACGAGGACCTTCCCCTTACTAATTACCTTCTTAAATTCGATGTTGGCGAAGAAGAACCATGGGATTCTACAGAAGATTTGAGCGTGGGAGGAGAAAGCGTCGATGAACGAGACATTTTTGGGCTTGGTTGTGAGGTGGTAGACGATGACGGGGTGTCTTTTACTTTTGAGAGTGGACACTGGAATGAAGACGCTCCTGATAGAGCAGAATTGGTTGAAAAGGAACTTTGTCGAGCTAAAAATAAAGGCAATTATGGAAAGGAAGAATCGGTTAAAAGTAGTGTTATTGTTGACTTAAATAACCAAAAGCAGACAACCACCTTGGATCCTAAGAACGTTGTCGAAGCTGCATGTGTAGTTCATTCCAAATTAAAAGCAACAAATGTTTCCTTCGCTGAAGACACTTTTGAACCCGGTTCCCCTAACCCAGAGGATTTGGAAACTGATGTGTTGGACCATGTTGGGGAAGTTTTTGGTTTGGAGAATGAAGTCTCTCCTGATAAAGTAGAAGTTGAAATGAGTCAAGCTAAGAAGAAAGGCAATGGCTTAAGCATCCAAAAAAAGAAAAAAACCTCAGATCCTAAGAACGGTATAAAAGCTGCATATACAGTTCATTCCAATGAAAAAGTAACAAATGTTTCATTAGAGAGAAGTAAGAATGGGCCTCTGAAAACAACCATAAAGACTCAAGCAGAGAAAGCGAAAGAACAGCGTCAAAGGAAAAAGAAGTTTGTTCAAGAACTCCAGGATACCATTGAGGAACTAAAGCAAGAAAAGGCTGGCTTGCAACAAGTCAATACTCAACTGAATGACAAAATTGGAAGCTTACAAGAAGAAATCAACTACTTGAAAGGAGTGATCGCAAATCAAAGTGAATTAGCCAAAATTTTGAGGACTGTTGCTAACATTCCAGGGATTTCAATCAACTGCAGTGTTTTAAAGAATGACCAGGGTGAAATGGGTAAAAATAACAAACAGAAATGTGTTCCTGCTGGTAAGAAGGGTGTAAATTTAAGTGATGAAAATACCAAAAAGAGGAGGATGGATATAGAGGTAAATGGTGAGCTGGAGAATAATGCTGGAGTGTGTGTTCATGTTCAAAGTGGTAAAGTATCGCTTGAGTTTTGTCCAGAATGCAGTAAGAAGGCAAAGAGCACACCACTATCCTGAGATGTATCAGAGGTCCAAAAGACTCCAGTAATCTTTATTAATAATTTATAGTAGTTGTTAAAAGTCTCCTGTTTAGTGGGTGACATTACAATGAAAAGACCAATGGTCACTACCAGCTCAGATCATCACAAAAATGTTAATATTTTGGTGATATTTTCCATGGCAAACAAGGGTAGGTGGTAATGTATCATGACAAACGAAGCAGCTGTAACCAATCAAGACATCCAAAACACATCTTACCCAAAGTTTCATTACCCAGAGTTATGCTACATGAAATATAGTCTGAGGTGTTTACCATTCTGAAATGACTAATAGTAAGAGTGGAAAGCAATGACAGTATAGACCTTACGGCAACAGCTTCTTCTAATACCGTTTTGCAGCAATGTTACTTTGGGTCAGGTGACTTTCGGGTGACTTGACCTTCAAGCAAAGTAGTAAGTTGAAGACAGGAAGTTTTGTCACTAGTATTTTAATGATCTAATACCCTCTCTCTGACACTTCATGCAGTGTACCACTAACAAAGGGAGTAGATCCCTGAGTTTTATTTTGTTTGCAGGTTTTGATCATTGTCATGGACTGTCGAAGTTAACATTACTCGGTTAGTATTGTCATAACTGATGGCAGATGTTATAAGTGATCAAACATTTGTTGGAGACCACTTTTTAGAATCTTCTTAAATTTTGCAACACAGTGTTACGTCAATTTTTGGCATCAAATCATTAACTCAGTAAATTTGTTAATTTTTACAAGATATCTTATTGAATTCTTGTTTCTGCATTAATTTGCAATGCATGACATATTTTGTATTTAAAACAGTAATGTTTTACCCATGTGTTCCAAAGATCCTCACATTGACTTATTAGTCTTTAAAAATAAGGTATTTTTTACAAAAAAAAATCATATTTTAAGAAATCTAAATAGTTCTTTCTGTACTTCCAGTGTAATTTAGTATGGAGAAAGGAAGGAAAACATACAATAGTATTGAACATTGCTGCGTACAATATACATTTAATGTTGTTAGAAATCAACTTTCTTGCATTTCTAACTTTTCTTAAAACTTTTTTAACTAGTAACTGGATTGAATGCACTGTAATGGATGCTTGCCACTCCTTGCACCCTCTGGAGTCAAGTGTCTTTGGGGTTTAAGTGTAAGTAATGTTCCCTCAAAGGTTTTTGTAAGTATAGAATACAATGAGGGACACAGGTAATGGTTTGTCAGTAGGCATGTTTTTGTAATCCCAGTAGTTTCCTTTCGCTCAACCTCTTAACTCAAACTGAAAAGGGGTTGAGAAAGACAAGATTGCTTTTCAATGAAATTCAGATGGTGGTTGTTTGCAGTCAGCTGGCTGTAAACAGTGTGTTTAGCTAAAAAAAAGCATCATTTTACAACAACTGAGCGAGTTCCTCAAATGTTGATTGGTCAAGTGCTATGTTTTGTAAGAGTAAAGAGTAGGACATGATGTGATGGTATTGTAATTTGTTAAATTTCTCTTTCTTCATTGGAAATGGACATCAAAAACTGTCAATGTTACTGTAAAAAAAAAACAAACAAACAAATCAACAACAATTTTTCAGGTTCTGTACTCTTATTGACCATAGACATGACATCAAAATGATCTTTTGGTTTAATGTGCTTCCACTAGAGTTTTGAACATTTTGACAGTATTTTTATGGTCGAAATGAGTGTACACCGTGGAAAATTGTTGTTGATTTGTTAATAGGATATTGAACTTAGTATAATTCCAGTCATAGCAATTGCTATTTGTGAAGTTTTTTTCTCTTGGAGTAAAAGGAGATTAATTTTGTCCAGTACTACAGGATAGCAGGGGTTTGTTTTGTATTCTGTGTATTAAAAATGTTGATGATAATGTTCAGTTCAATCATGTTGTCTAAAAATTAATGACAAGGTGTTTGTAAATCAGTTTTTAATGATGGTTGTAACAGCTGATATCATGGATTTACTTGGTAAGCAAAAAGGTTTACTGGTGAGGTGATTATTTGAATCAAAATTTATTGTAGCTTTGTAGATGCATTTAGTGATCAGGGTTTGTCATCCAATAATTTTTTTTAGGATGGCTACAGGTAAGATTTAGAATTGGCTTCCATTGCTTTGAATTATTTGGTCTTATCACTTTCACTCCTGTAGTGGTTTAAGTATTAATTTCCCATAATGAATGCAAAATTGCCTTTTGTAAAATACTTAAAAATGAAATAATAGTACTATGAAACATTAAGCACTGAAACAGAGGTTTCATTTTGGCGGTAAGACCACAGAACTTTATCCACAGATTGAAAGGTACATGTAGAGTGACGAAATTATTGCTATAGTCTTGGAGTGAAAGGGTCAGGCCAACAGTGACGGCTCAAAATAGTATTCAAAGAAACATCTCTTGTTTGAGTTGCTGGAATTCAGCCACATATAATTATAGTCACTTTTAAAAATAATATTGTACAAGTTATTTGAAAGTTTCAACATGCAAAGCTGAGAACAGATACAATACTACACTTAGTCTTAGTCATTTGACGTAAGTGATATCTCTAAATAAAGGCATATACAGTACTCAAAAAGTGGCTGTTGTTTTGGTGTCTGTGTTTACTTTCATCTATTTCTGTACCACAACTGGTCCTATTCAGGACTGAACCCACCCAGGCGATTTATATTTTCCTTTATATGGCAGCATCCAATTCAACTTAAAGCTGTGGGCACTTAAAAAAGTCAGAGTAGCATTCACCAATAACAACAAATTGCAAAGAGGCTAAGGTATTGGTATTTTCAATAATAGTATTATTACCTAGGTTCCTTTAATTTGAGCATGAAATTACAGATTTGACAGAAATGCCCTGCTTTGCCAAAAAAATTAATGGTCATAGCAAAAAAATAATAGATAATTGTCAAGCGTTGTACGTCACTTCTTTTTACCAACCAAGACAAACTTGAAAACAGTAGGCCACTGTTTAACTTTACTTTAATGCTAGTGCATTTATCATGTCTTTTTCAGTTTTTCCTTTCCATTCTCTGTTTAGGTCATTTGACACTTCAATGACTGTATCTTTCGTGTTCCAAACAGAACTTTTGACCAAAACCTTAAAAAAAAAAGAATTGTGAAAACGCTTTTTCAGAGAATTTAGGTATTACCGCATGGCATGTGGGTAGGTTATTCTGGGCTTTGTCTATTGCATTTTGCAAGGGTTGTTTCATCTGAGATGGACTTTGGACTTTTATCCCTTGTAGAGGTTGGATGGTGGGGGTGAGGTTTAAGGGGGATAGCAACTCTCTTGGGATTGTGTTGACTCCACCTCGCATGTTAAAATTCATCCCCCTGTTTTTGTTTGACTTAAAATAAAAGTAATCTGCCTTGATTTAAATCGGACAAGCAACATGGCCTTGAAACGGTGACATAAGACATCAGGAATGGTGACAAATGGCACAAGGATGGGTTGAAATTTCAACAGCAATAGACATAAGTGCAATACAATAGAAAAATACCTAGAGCGACATGGCTTCGTCGGATCAATTTAGGATTGTGAGAAACTGCCCACCTACCCCTCCCCTAAGCTAACATTGACATTTCTCAGTTAAGGCAAAATGATGGCTTAAGGGAGGGGTAAGTGGGCAGTTTCCCAGAAACCTAAATTGACCCTCCTCCTCAATATGCGGAACGAGAGGTTTTGAAATTCAGACTAGGGACATTATAAGTAACACTCCACCCCCCCACCCCCCCCTCCCCCCCCAAGAGGGCCTCTTTTTTAGCCTTTTGGAGGCTTAGGTGTAAATAGACAGTAAAGAGGTTGCCACAAAAAACCTTATGCTTCATTCTTTTATTTACACTTTCTTGAATAGAAAAAATAGTATATAAATACTAGAAACATTCTGCTGAACTGTTATTGAAAATTTACTGTTATTATTTATAAAGTTAATCCTCTATAAATTGTGGCATGGTAAGAATCTAGAAACTAGAGATTTCAGAAGGGAACTATAAAAAGCTAGTCCTGTCTTTGAGAATGTCTGCTTGAGCATTTCCAGGGTCTTCTGACAGATCTTGATGTTAGTTGTCAAACTAAAACTCAGTGCAGCTTAAACAACCTGTTTGTAAGATGCATATCATCCACATATCTGGAAGAAAAAAAAGTATTTTTAAGTTTAATTCAAATATTGCATAATACTGAGCCAGCAATGGCATGCAATATGGGCTTGTGCAAAACAATAATACATTGAAACCCTGCCTTACGGCCACCTCATTATTAGGATAGTTTTTTTTTTGCCACCTGGCAAAACCGCCATACATTTTCTTGTAAAAAACCCTGGTTAATACGGCCACCCAGTTAATACAGCCAACATTGGTGACTGTATTAACAGAGTTCTACTGTATTATAATCGCATGGGAGAGATTTGCTTCAGTACCCATGACTATTTGGGAATAATAATTATTTCTGAGTTGAAAGTAGAAGACATTAAACAAGTTTAACTTCTGTTTGTCTGTGTTGAGTTTGCTGTCTGTGTATATTGGAAATGGCATGTGCTGCAGCTGTTCCAGCTTCTGCATTTCTAATGATTTTCAGCGTTTCAAAATGTCAATGGACTTAACCATTGCTGATAAATCTCTGTCACTTTCTTGTTCTTTCTTTCTTGCTCCACCAAAAAGAAGTGAAAAAAACATCATGTAACTTGCTGAATACATACGTTTCGCAACTTATGTGTTTGAAACTGATTTATTTATTACTTTCATTGGATTGTTCACACCTAGGAGTGTGTTGTAGACTTACCTTAGATGTCAGCTGTTTTTGCAGTGAAATGTTTGCCAGCCGCTGCACCTGCGACGTGGCCGTCAGTCATGCCTGGGATACTGTTCAGATATGTGAACAGAAGTGGCCGGCAACATTGCTCATCCCAGTCTTTACCCCCCTGGCCCCGGCATGCCTGCGAAGTTGACTCAAGTTCAACTATGCAGGCAAGCCGGCGGTAGAGCTCTGCGATGGCTTCAGTTGCCGGTGACACATTTTCTCATTTGTCCGAGAAGTGTCCCAGGCAGTACCGGCGGTTATGTTGCAGATAAATTGCCGGCATATGAGAACCAGGCTTTAGCTTCACAAAAATGGGAGCCCGAATTATTATCAGTTTTAAAAAGAGAATGACATCAGGGAGATTGCTTCTCAGATGCTCTTTTCATGGCGTGGGAAAGGCGTCTGCTCCCGCTGGCCAAAGAGATCCTGAATAATGACGCTACCTTACCCCACTCCCCCTGCTACTTGCCCGTACTTGGAAACTGGGTAAATTAAATGCATAAACAAGGCCTTTATTGTAACAAATCTATAACTTAGCAAATTCGGAAAAATAGGTCTTATATCTGGTCTTAACTAAACCGTGTGTGCTTTTACTAGACGACCGTTTTTACTGATAATGCAATAAAACAACGGTAAAGTAAACAAAACATTGTTCATAGGTTAAACAACCTTGCCAAGGCGCGTCCATATCCGCTAATTAGCAGGACTTCCACTCAAATAATGTGTTAACAAGTTAAACTAAGGCAATACTTAAGGGCTAAAAAGTCAGAAAATAGAACTTACCTGGTCATGGGACTGTTGATGTGAGGGAAATGCTTTTGACTTTTGGGATGAAATGGCGGCGGAAGCGCCATGCCTGTTCCCCATCTCGGGTAAATACTTCTGCTTGGAAAACCTTTAGAGGGAAGCATCTGCCTGAGAGTCGACCACTCCTCGCATCTTGTTGCTTGAGAAGAAGGGTACCACTTTTCCTCTTCCAAATGTCGTGAAAATGTTTTCAAAGAAGGTTGTGTTTCGCGTGCCCAGTGTTCAGGGACGGTGGTGGCGACTGGTGGATCGCAGATAAATTTAGACCTCTGTACCGGCGCATTACTTCTGAGATCCTGGGGATCGTGTCTTTTGTTCACCCACACTACATCGTTGTTATCTGGTCGTATTTTAGCGGTAGATTTGTAGCCAAAAAGCATTCCGCCAAGTGACTCCGCAGCCATGTCTGAAATTACTTCGCGCAATAAGCTGTTGTAACTGTCTGGTTGCTAAGCAACAGATTAGTCCCTTGTCACCGGAAGTTCCGATCGTCAATTAAAAGATGCTTTAAAAAGTCTTCAATTCTACAAGTCATCTATGAAAAATACTATTACTTGCACATTTGAAGATTAAGTACCACATAATTCAAAACATGTTCAAGGGCCGTCCTTTCATGGGGAGGTTGATTTGCGATGTTAGAGTTGTTGCGCCTGAGCGTAATATCTATCTACCATTTATTTGCCTCCATTACAATGATTAATAACTCCTGCAACCAAAGAAAACCGTTATAAGTGCTTGCATTGTGATAAACGATTCACCGAGTCAATAGTCTCCTTCGTAGCCGTTTTTAGGCAGCCTTGGATTAGCTAGGGTAACGTGGACCATGGATAATCCATGGTGTAGGCAAATGTCCCCGAGTTGATTTCTTGGGGACCGCACTCAAGTTAAGAAAGAGAAAGAAAACTTCGTAGTCTCTTTTTTGCGGCCTCTATAAAACGTGGAGTTAGACATTTTCACGTCTCTTAGTCGTGCAGTGAGGGCAAAGAAATGTGATGATGATGCACTTGAAAAGTTGTTTTTCGCTCAATAAAACTATAGCTTTTTTAACGTACACGTTGCCGTCGCCATTGTCTCCCTACTTTCTTAGCTGAGGAGGGCGTCTGTTCACAGGCTAGTTAGTGTAAGACGGAATCCGCAGTTACTCCGACACTTGGCCCCAGTGTCAAAGTCTGTCTTTGAGAAAGTTCTCAGGAAAAACAGGTGTCACAACAGACTACAAGCAAAATAAATGACAGGGTAATGGCCACCTATATTAGTTATATCAGCCGTTTGTCGCAGATGCGTCAGTTCGTCTTCTCTGACTGACAAAATTTTTTTAGATGAGGCGGGCTTAACACTTCCCTACAAAAAGCGCCCTGGGGGCGAGGGTGTGGGTGGGCCGCACCCGCTCCCCCCCCCCCCCCCCCACCTCTTCTCTAACCCCGAACGAGGGTAGCCAATCTCGTCCTTAGGGTCTCTCGTTGTTCAAAATAGCTGCTGTCACGATATGGAAAACACAAAAACCCTGGGGTCGAGGTTTAGAAGGTAGCGTGTCTTTCAAAGGAAGGATGGAGCGTCGCACGTTACCACTCATGCGCGGCGTATAATAGCGAGAACCGTCGTATTTGAAGAAGGAAATCCACTTATTACCCGTCTAATGAGGTGTACTTCTCGCATGAAGATAACTGTGCACTTTTTTTAGCGTTTGTAATTTGTTTTTTTTTGTTCTAAAGGGCTGTTTATTGTGTTCTCATTATACAGGGCTACTTTTCAGTGCGCGCTTTAACACAGCCCTTTCCTTCTGCCTGTAACGGTTTTTCTTAGCGTTTTCCGCTCCTAGCCTGAGTGCCAGAGTCTTTTTTTTAATTTAATTCCAAGAGCCTGTTAATTCCTGATAGTTCGCGGCGAAAAACGGGAAATTAACTAAACTGTGCGCAGGGCTTATTTCTCTGGAGCCAAGGTGCCTCCATAATTAATGAGTACATCTTCTTTAATCCGAAGCAGTTGTTTTTACTTAAATTTTGGATTAAACAACCCTCTCCGTAAAGAAGGAAAAAATTTTAACAGGCTAATTCTTTTATTGGTTCTCTGAAAGATGGGAAATTTTATAAATCGTCTCACATCCCGCTTTCTTGCGTGCGAACAGTACATACGTATTTTATTGGCTCGTCCCCACAGGGGGTTTTCAGAGTCAATCTAACAACAATGATTTTAAAAAACCCAGTTACACACAGAAAGCCAAAAACACGAAAAATTATCAACTTATTTAGCTCAAGGAGACGTCTAGTAATAATTCACCCTTAAAACTAGTCGATTAGGCTTGAGTGCAAAAAATTTGTGATCATTGAATTATCCAAAATCTTATCTGTTTAAAAGTAACGAGGATAACTAGAAAGCGGATTTTTGACATACCGTACCACCGTATCCGTCATCAGTAAAATTAAAAAACGGCTCCTTAGCATTATAAGAAACTCTTGAGCTGCTTTGGAGTTTCCGTTAAAATCAGGTGCATGTAAGGAATTCATTTACTCGCTCGCAGTAGAATTAAACGATGATTTTTAAATGACTTTTTACTGATTATGATAGATGTGCCTCTCAAACGCATTTGTTTATATTGCAGAAAGTGTTGTCAATTGTGTTGTCTCGGATAATATCTACCTGTTGCTGTCAAGGCTTTTTGCTTCTGAAATTATTCAACTCTTGCTTACTGTTATTTGACTCTTTCGTTTTCATTCAAAGTCCTCGTTCCAGCGAAAACGCAGGCGCAAACGTTACTGAAATTTTAAACGTCGCCTCTATTTCATTTTAGCCAATCGACTTACAGAACGTTCGCGTACGTCACCATGTGACGTCATGGTTTAGTATATAAGCACACGCCACACACGAGCGAGCTTCAGTTTGCACTGACTTTCACTGTGTATACTTGACTTACGTCACTGTAATTGAAAGGAAATTGCGCCTGAAATGGGTTGTAATCAGAGCAAAGTGAGATTTTCGCAAGTATTTAAGAGGAAGAGGGTAAGAGCAACTTAGCGGTTGATGAAGTTTTCGTAATAAATGAAAAAAATGCCAATTTTCTGCATCTTTCGTTGTAGTTTTCGAGAGTGTTAAGTAAGGTAGTTGAAAACATATGGCGTCAGCCTTGCCATATAAGGGCACAAATTTGAAATTATTCTGACCAATCATAGAGAGTTATTTGAAGGCCCCATGTGGGGTTAACGTGACCTTAAAAGGTAACAAATTTGAAAAATTCTGACCAATCGTAGGACATGTTTGAAAGCCCACGTGGTTTCGGTTCAACCGTAAAAGGAAACGGATTTGAATTGAAAGTGACCAATCACTGCGCGTTTCCTCCATATCTCGCGCGTGCGTAGAAAGATTGAGCCGTTACAGAACAACGAGTGATTTTTGTTTAGCTCGGAAGAAAAGGCAACTGATCATGAAGAAAATCAACAAACAAACAAAAAATAAAGATGGTTTCAATTATGGCAATTGAAACCACGAAGTCTCCAATGTTTCTTTGAAATGTAGCGATTACTAGAAAAATGCTATATCAGCATGATTTGACTGCAGTGTCAGGCAGCGCGCGCATGACAAATCGTCGCCTTTCAATTTATTGAAAGAATGGATGAGATCTTCGAATATCCATGTTGAGAATAATATATTGAAGATGACATTAAATGAAACAGTTTAAATCGACAACAACAAATTTCATTTACATTCAATTGCTAGTAATTACAAATAGTTTACCCTCCCTCAAATAATAGCAAAGGAACTAATCGAGGCCGAGGTGGGGGAGGGGGGGGGATGGAGAGGGAAAATAAGGCATATTTTGCATTATTTTATTTTCATTTTATATTTTACGATTTGAGAAAAAAGGACTAGACAATTACAACAACTAAATCTTAGATCAAATAAAGTAAATTCATATCAAACTCACTTTAGAAATTTTCTAGGGTCTCAGTGTAGAAAACCGTCATCCCGGTTGGGAACTCCCCTATATAGGGGCGGGGATTCTCGTTGTCTCGCTTAGGAGTGTAAATTTCGGATTTTGGTCTCACTTGGGGTGTTCTGGACAAAAACGCCAGTATATTTAGCCGTAAAAGTCTCTATTAGGGTTGCATGCGAAGTAATAGAAAAAATTATATATTTTCAATTCGTTTTATTTACTCGATACATGTAATCCCTGTTTAAAATGGTCTCTTTTAGGGGTCAAAAAAGGGTTAGGCCACGCCCTGATTGGAATTGAGGGGAGAGTTTAATTGGAAATTTCCGACGAGTATCCCTACCTCTTTCATATGGGAGTCGCCCTGGACCGTCAGCCGTCAAAGGTCCAAAATTTAACTGTTAACCGTCGACCGTCGAAAAAGTCTCTTTTTTTACCGTCAACCGTCAAAAATAAGGGTTAATTTTAACTACAAATCTCACCAATTCAGCTGATCTTTACGTGGATTCTTGCTCCTGAAAAAATGTCTTAACTAGAAAAAAAAAAACATTCCATGTTTTAAAAAAAAGCTCTTTCTAGAAATTTTGAATGCATTTGGAAATTATATTTTAATGAAAGGCCAAGATAACCTCCAAAAGGCAACAGCTCATATTAATTCGTAATTTACGTTTGGACTAAATTTCTACTTAATAACGTAACCGTCAATCATCAATATTGGAAAAAAAAATGTAGCGTCAACCGCCTATGCTACCACTCCATCGAGACCCTCATAAGAGACTCCTTACTTATCTGTTAATAATTTTTTTCGCTAGGCAACCAAGAGAACAACTTGGTATGTTGACCTTGGTACGTTAGAATGCAGCCCTCCTCTTATGCAGCATACGTCACAGAAACCAGCCCCAGCCTCAAACATCCATTATGAGGACTTTTCAATTCTGTCTTTTATGACAAGAAAAGATCATTACGAGTGGGTGGAGATGTATGCTAAAAAACAATTGTTTGAATGTGTGGAATCTTGCTTAAACTATAAAGGATTTCATGAATATGGATTCCACTTATTATCACTTACTCCAAGGCCCTTGTTGGAGATCAGAACTTACGATAATAGATCCATTCATTCCCTTCCTGGGGGGAACTCCACGGCCTTGGAGTACTTTCTAAGGTAGGTACAACTGAGACAGTTCCGGGTACATTGTAACTAGTACCCTACGAGCAAGCTCACCAATTATGTCGAGCGAGCCGCGAGAGCCTGCCCCTCGAGCTCTCGTCTCCTTTCGAGCGTGGCTCTCGCGTGAATTCTCGCGAATCCCCCAAATGAAAAGCTTCCTCGCAGGCTAATGGTAAATTGCCATCGATCTTCGCCTCGGTTGGAATCCAAGACAGTCTTGGATTCTGGATTCCACGCCATGGATGCCGGATTCCAAATACTTGATTTCGGAGTCTTTGTAAGTGGAATTTGGATTCCGGATTCCAATTGTTGGCGGGATTCCGTGAGCTGTATTACGGATCCCAAAGCCCAGGATTCCCGATTCCACAAGCAAAAATGTTCGTTACATGAAGCGCAATTAGGAAAAAAGTATTTATTGGCCAAATAAGGTAACCCGGTGCTCGAATTCCGGAATCCGCAAAAAGATTGCTTGTGCAATCCGGAATCCTTGGCTTCGGAATCAGGGAATACCCGGATGCTGATCAAGGATTCCAGAATACAAGTTCCACTGACAATGAATCCGGAATCCCCTAGTACCTAGAATCCGGAATCCAGCACGTTTTAATGCCTTTATATTTGCAAAGTTTAACAAAGTTGAGCCTCTGGATACTAATTCTTAGTATTTAAATGTCCTCAACTGATTTTGTAAAAATGAAAGTTCTGATGGGCTCTACAGCTCTATAAGTTTTGCGAACTTTTTTTTCCACTCTGATAACTTGCAAAAACAGCGCGGAGAGACGGTTCCACACTGACTTTTCCCTTGAATATTCCGTCCCGATAGCCCCCCTCCCCCTCCCCCCACTGTATAATACCGGGCCTCCGAGGTTGGAAGTGCGCAGAAGATATCGTGCGTCGGAACGAAAAAGCGGGTGTTCGGTAGCTTAGAATGCTGAGAAAACAATGGGGTGTTCTATCTATGTTGAAAATTTGAAAAAAAAAAAAACAAAAAAAACAAAAAAACACATGCACTCGCTAAAGTTCTCAACAGTTAAATTGGCCTTTGTATAGAACGAAAGTTGAAAGAAACATGGCGTTATTTGTAATAAATTACGCTAAATAGGTCTCTAAGGAGGAAACACTTTATAGTAAGGATATTTAAAAGCGAATTAGCCTGTTCTTTTCTTATTCATTCACAGAACTATTCCAGAAGCAATTGAGGCAAAGGTGGGGAATGACCCCTTTGTTCTTGTTATCGATGATCTCGATAACGAGTCAGGCTACAGTAAAATGTGTGTTAGTCTGATTGAGAAGACCTGCCAGACGCTGCAAATGAGGTAAAATAATAAAAAAAATTGTTATACTTTCCTGGTCCCCAGGGTCGTCTTGTGTTCCCGAGTAGGGCGGCTGTAGGGGAGACCCAGCCTCGTTCCCAGTCGTCCTCGGCGATTTCGGATGTGACTTCACCAGTTAATTCGCTCTCGGTTCCAAGCCTCCTCTTATAACTCGGATAGCGCGAACTGGCCTGGGCACGAGGCTGGGGGAGACCCTCTTATCTTCTGCCGCCACCTTTTTGGAAAACGAAAAGACCCTGTGGACGAGGTTGGCACTTGTGATTCCATCGTGAGTAGCATTCCACGAAGGAGTGTCCAAAAGCAACTGATTTAAAAAGGCACTTTTCATTCCTCTTGTTGTCTGTTGTTTCTACTTCTTTATTCACTCCCTCTTTTCTCATTCATCCCATTTCTACTAAGTCTTTTCAGAAATGTAAGTGATATGCATAAATCACAGGGATTCTTTCTAGCAACCGGACGGAAAATACTCGAAATTGTTTTCGTGTTATTGAAAAAGGTGCCCGTAATATTATCATCATCATCATTATCATCTTCATCTTCATCTTTATCATTTTCGTCATCATTATTTTCGGAAAAATTGCGATCATTAACATACTGATTTTGATTCTTCAGTCTTAGTTTGAAAATACCTATGCTCTTCAAAAGAATGTAAATAAATGAATCACTTTGGATCGAATCTATCTTCTTTTGATGTCATTCACTGACTGCCATCTTAATTTTCACAGATTTGAGGGGAGGTTGAAGAGAGTTTGTATCAACAGACCATACGGTCTGTTAGCCTATGACCTCGCGATCAGAAAGCGGTTCAACCTCCCGTTTGCCAGGTAAGACATCTAATGAGGTATTGCTAATATAGCAATTATATTGGGTGGTCGCAATCTTAGCCCTGTCTCGTTACCGGCGCAACGGTCTTCCCTTGTGTCTTTGCGTTTTTGAAGCTTTCCCATGATCCTTGCGCCGCGACTACCGTCGAAAATCCCAAGAAGAGTCTGGGTACGAGGTAGTGCTTAACATGCATTTACAAATAGTAGTTATATAGACTGGGGAAACGTTTAGTCAGCTTTGATCAACCTCGTGCTCAGGGATTCGCATTTAGATAAGGCGGAAGCCCTGGGAACGAGACTGATTGTTGATTGCCGTCAAATTACCAAAGGTCCTGGCCCAGTTGTTCAAAAGGCAGACCATTTGATTATCGAAATCTCTTTCCAGCAGATAGAGCACTTGATTTCCCTTATACGTATTCAATATATAGCAATTTATCCGGTGGCTTGCGCAATCCAACGTTTGAACAACCAGTGCCTGGAATTGAACAATCCGCAACCTCGTCTCCAGGGCTTTTCCCGAAAGCCCTGGGGACGAGGTTGGAACAATCCGCTCCTCCTGTAGGATAATGTCGTACCCAGATCTCCCACAAGACAGAGTGAGATCTGGGTACGAAATTATCTGTAACAAGGGACTACGCAGATCTAACCTCTCACATGTCTTCCACTGTCACCTGTCATAAGACATTCTGATCGATTTTAATGAACGTTTTCTTTTTCAGCTGTGAAATTGAGAATAAGCTAATCGTAGCTGATAGATTCTCTGTGGGAAAGCTGGCAAGAGCTACAGGTTAGTTTACATTGACGGAGGCGTTCTTTCGAGTATATACGGTTTGGATAGAATTTGCCGATTTTATTTCATTTGTGGTCAATTTGTATTCCTTTTGAGTGCAATATTACATTTGTGGCTTCAACCCCCCTTGCTTACGCGCAACATGTTTGTACAACTTATCCGTCTTGTTTAAGACGGTTATCTTAGAACTGGTTTTTTGTTGGTCTTGCAGGTTTTCCAGGAAGACTTATTCCAGAAGATGAACTTAAAACTAGAGTTGCGAGTCTCTGAAGCTATTTCAGGAAAAGATTTACAATGACAATTTAAGTCCTAGAAATTAATTCGTATTTTATCAAAATAGTCTTCCTGCGATTAAGCTGATTTTAGTTATCTTGAATATTGTAGTATTGTTATTATTATTATTTCTAACATAAATGAGGCTGTTGTATATTCTTTACGCATATCTGATGTAGCGTCATTTATTATAATTGTCTCCTGTTTCAAAGATAACAAGATGGCAGATAAAATTGTTTCTTAAGTTCTAAGCAATGTCAACTGAAGTTACGTTTCGACACTATAACATGCTGTTCTCGATATACAACAAAATTTCTTAACTATTATATTCTTTCTCTACACAAAATACTGATAAACGTTTACCTATAACTATTACCAATGCAAAACACGGTTCTTTCAATAAACATGCTAGGGATTGTTTCTACTGTAAATTAACATTGCAATCAGTAATCGTAGGAAATAATACTGTTATTTAGCACAGCCAAAGCTTTAAATACAGACTTAGTATTAATAAATAGTAGAAAAATGTATTTGAAAACAGTGCAATCCAATGCAACGAAAAAACTTTAACATGTGGGGAGTACTAACTGCTTTCATTAGTTTGAGAAATTTGTTGTTTTGCTGAAAGTCATTATCAGCTCAGGGACTAATCGTCTGGCACTAAGGCGAATATAACCGTGAAAGTTAATTTATAGAGAGCTTAAAATAGCTCCGCATATACAATTTATACTCGATAAAGTGTCATTTTGGAATCGGATCAGACAATAATATAACATCGTTGCTAAGGGTTGCACTAGTTTTGTTATACATAATGTTAAACAAGAAATGCTTACAATAAATATGTGAACATTGAAGTTTCATGCCTCTTGCGAGTGATTTTGTTTAATTTTTACTTTGTTCGGTTTCTTCCTTCTCTTTCCTCTTCCAGCTGAATATTTTAAACTGTTTCAGGAAATACAATTTCCCGTGTTGCCCTGCCTGTGTAGCTAGCGTTTCCAAATCGGCGAACTCGCGTGGAAATGCTTGCTAAGCAGGCTCCCGCGCGCGTCCCCCGCTCCACCTCCCTATACCTAGCTGACGTTTCTCACCTCGAAGGAGCCTATTCTGAGGTTTAATTAAGGGGTTACTGAAACAGCAAGTTGTAAAGTCAGGTTTTGCTCCCATTTTTCGTTTCCCCAGAATACTTATGAGCATAACCCAACAACGAGATGACTCGCTTTCAGTAACAAAAGTATAATTATACGAGGACGAAACTGGACTGACAGTTTTTCTCTCGTATACTCAAGTTATCAGAGTGGAAAAAAAAAGGTCGCAAAACTTATAGAGCTGGAGAGTCCATCAGAACTTTCATTTTTACAAAATCAGTTGAGAACATTTAAATACTAAGAATTAGTATCCAGAGGCTCAACTTTGTTAAACTTTGCAAATATAAAGGCATTAAAACGTGCTGGATTCCGGATTCTAGGTACTACGGGATTCCGGATTCATTGTCAGTGGAACTTGGAAAACTTTATTGTACTTTTTTACTTGAAAATTAATACGATTACTTTAATTGAAAGGGGTTTAGCCCTCTCTTGATCACAAAATGGTAAGACTTGTAACATTTGATAAGTAGTTTACGTCACTATGACATTTTCGTTATAAACCGTAACCGAATAAAGACGGCTATCGCGTTTCCCACTGCTAAATGCATGCACTACTCAATACTGAGAAAGGTTGTTCTCGTCGCCCTCGTCTAATCCAAGGTCTCTCATAACGCATGGGTGAATACGTGATCTACTGTCACCTCAAGTTCTATCAGATTCCCCTGTACCATTCAACTAATAAAAAAATTGATGAGAATTCTGAAAAAAGGTCCAATCATCACTTCCTGTGCTATTCACCTAATTTTAACGTAAGAAAACAGCCAACACTTCGTGGCGCAAACATTGGTTTTCCCGCGAAATAAGTTCGTGAAACGAGACTGATGATGTGTCACTAGCAAGATCTGTAGAATAGTGCTTCTGATTGGTTGAAGTAAGTTTCCCTCGTGACAAGACCAATCAGAAGCACTATGCAGACGTGGGTATAGCGACCTGTCATCAGTATGGAATTTCATCTCAGACGTAATTTCGCGAGCAAACTATGCAGCAGTGACGTCGCAAAATGTCGGCTGTTTTCACAGGTTATAAATTCAGGTTTTGTTCCCATTTTTTCCCCCCGAATACTCAAGAGTAAAATTTAGCGCAACAAGATGGTTTGTACCAGCGAACCAAATAGCGCATAGATAAATACGTGATTAACTGGCACTAAAACTCAGCATCATTCAAATTCACAAGAAAGGCGATAGACTATGAATTCATGTACGATTGTAAATAACCCTTAATTGGTTTACGTCTTATCTTAACAACAGGTCGCAACGAGTCTCGCTAAATGGCTTTACATCTGACAGTTTTAAGCTTCCTTATGGCGTTCCACAAGGATCGTGTCTGGGGCCATTGTTGTTTACCATTTATTCAAGCAAACTGTTTGAAGTCATCAAATGCCATCTACCTGAAGCACATGCCTATGCTAATGACACTCAGCTTTACCTGTCATTTAGTCCTGGCACGGCTACTAATCAGACTGATGCGGTCATTGCCATGGAACGCTGTATATTGGACATTCGTACGTGGATGCTTACGGATAAGCTCAAACTTAATGATGACAAAACTGAGTTCATGTTGATTGGTACAAAACAACAACTTTCCAAAGTAAATATTGATTGCCTTACTGTAGGAAGCATTGACGTTGTTCCTGTCACTGTGGCAAGAAATTTAGGGACATGGTTCGATTCTAACTTGAATCTCCAGGTACTGATCCAAAAAACTTGTAAATCTGGGTTTTTCCATTTATACAATATTCGGCGTATCCGAAAATATCTGTCCCAGGAGTCTGCACGAACTTTGGTCCATGCTTTTATCATTGGTCGTATAGATTACTGCAACAGTCTTCCATTTGGTTTACCCCGTGCTCATCTACTTAAAATGCAACGCTTGCAGAATGCAGCTGCTCGACTTATATCTAATGTCCCTCGCTACAGTCACATAACACCAGTACTATGTGCGTTACATTGGCTTCCTGTCAAATTTCGTATTGATTTTAAAACACTTCTTTTTACTTTTAAAGCTATCTACGGTCATGCACCTGGTTACTTGATCGATTTGACTGCTATTAAAGAACAGCCGCGCTATAATCTCCGTTCAGCTAGCGATCTTCTCTTAAAGTATCCTAGTTTAAAACTGAAAAAGACTTTAGGGGATCGTGCTTTTTCATCTGCTGCCCCTGATTCATGGAACAATCTGCCCCTTCACATCCGTCTTGAGGACAATTTTGAACGTTTTAAATCTTTACTAAAAACGCATATTTTTAGACTAGCTTTTGATATGTAATTTTTTAACCTACTATGTAATATATTTAGTGTTTTTTTATCTTTATTTAATTTTTAGCGTTGTTTATTCTTAGCCTTAATTATTTTGCTCATTTTAGTTTTTATTTTCTTTTAACACTTACGTGTTGTGACGCAATTTTGATCATATTTGCATGGAAAAGGCGCGTTATAAATTTTTAATTATTAATTATTATTATTAATTCTTCTAACATTTAATGATAATTCTGAAAATCGGAATAATCGTTACCCCCTGTCCTGACTTACGTATTTTCAAAATCTCCCGTTCAATTCTCCCACACCTCTAAAATGACAACTTTCCTTGCACTTTTCTATTCTTGAACAAGTGAAATCCCTTGGCTCACATTCATTATAGCTTTAACCTGACGAGTGTATCCCTTTCACGTCATGCTTTGAAACGCGTCAACTTAGACATATATGTAAGTAGTTTTTCGGAAGCAAAGCTTTAATACTTATTAAAAAATACAAAAACAGAAACCGTAACAGTAACAAATATACGGTAAATGTTCAGTTAACGTGAGGGAATCTTAATCTATTTCTACGCCGATAGCTTTGACAGTGTCACTTAAATCAATATCGTAAATAACAGCTTTCTGGTGCGGTATTCTCGACGTGCAATTCGTTGATGGTATAGTTAGCCATGGGGGGTCGTTAGGCAACACACGACTTTTATCTCATGCCCAAATGCTGCTTGTTCCAATAAATCTTTCGAATGGCGCTGATTAGAATTGGGGCGCTTATTAACAAAAACACATTCGAAGGGGAGCGCTTATTCGAATAGACTGAGAAAACAGCTGACATGAATTGGCAACGCTGCCACTGGTTCCCCCGCCAAATGACTTCTGAGAAACGAGCGCAGGAATTCCATGCTGATGACGCGCCATTACCCAGATCTGGATAGTGCTTGTGATTGTTTGAATCAAATTTCCCGCGCGGGACGACCAATCAGAAGAACTACCCAGATCTGGGTAGTGGCGAGTCATCAGTATGGAATTTCTTCTTTACGTCCTAGAGTAATTTAAAGCATGATGGATCTAAGACAAAAACAGTTTTTCTTCTCATAGTAGCATTTATTACGAAGATATTACTGATACCAGCTGCGGTTAGCTGACTGATTAAAAACTGTTTCTTTCTTATTTCAAAACCGTAAATTACGAATCAATCAACATTACTTGCAATCTTCTCTCTTGTTTACAGTCATTTATAAGTGTAGACTGAACAGCACAACAAAGTTAATACATTCAAAAGTGTTGATGGGTGGGTCCTGAGAGCGGTTTTTTATGTTTTGCTCAAATTAGGTGCCCGGTTTTCATCAGCTGTCTTAATTTGACTGATTTAACTGCCCGGATCCGAACGTTTCAGTTTTAATCGTCTAGGCAGCAGATGAAAGAGCGAATTCACTTGTTTTGTCTGGAAAGAAAGACGACTCGAGTAAAGAAAATATGTGCGGTTTTAAAAATATCTGGATTCGTGTGGACAGGGCCCAAACTTTTTTTTAGTCATCAGCCTATGTCAGCTGTTGCCTTTCCCTTTTTGTGTGACCGTTGGTATAACGCTGTTGTCGGTCGAGTTTTCGCCGGAAAAAGTGCCCTAAAATGCGTCTAAAAATAAACTGGTCCGTAAAAACGCCGTGACATAGGCCTGGTAATGGTAGTTGATCGCTCTGGCTCCTGATTTTAGTTAAAAGAAACCGCTACCCAGAGAAATTATATATATAGGAATTCTTTTTCTTAAAATTCAGTTGAATATCGGGTCGGCACTAAAAAATTCAACTAGTTCCCACTCCCCATATAATGACCGACAAACGAGACGATATTGATTGACTCGATCGAGGTTACCTCTGATTCCAGCGCATGTTTGTTGAAGTGTGACTCCGATTTGCACGATCTAGAATATTTATCTACAGTTCATATTTCCTTAATGTTTTATAGACGTCTCTGTACTTCTGATATGTGGTTTCTAAACTTTGGCGTCGTGTTTCTTGCTTTGTCATTTGATTATTCATTCGCAGAAAGGAGTTCGCTCAAGGAATTTCAAGGTAGGGTCGTGACTCTGTTGGCTGGCAAACTAATAATTTTAGTTACATTGCCGATAAGTATGATAGTACAAAGTGCTTATTATGACACGAAATAAGTGTTATGATTGCACCTCGATAATTATCCATATCAGATCTTTCGACCCTTCGGATTTTTCAAAATATCAAACAGGCAGGAATTTTGTTTTACGACAGTTTGACTTTTGTACAATTACTGAGTAATTACACGGCTCTTTTGACGCGTATGTGGAATAAAAATTCATGATCATGCGCGAGACAAGAAAAGAACAACTCAACTGGAATAAAAAGTACGCGCGGTCCATTTACAATGGTGAGAGCCTTCACTGTGAATTCTTGAAATTTGGTATTCTTTCAACGCTGTTTCAATATCTATCAGTCACGTTGTCGTTTCGAAAAACAAATGATACAGATGGCGACAAAGATCGATGCGTAGATACCAAATATCTTCATCACTTATTATGATCTGCGAAAAAATGTATATTTGATTTGCAAGACAGCTTTTACTGGTGTTTATAATTTTCAAAGACTTCAGCACCGGTTTATCAGATTGCTAAATTATCCTAGCAATTTGCTTTTAACAAAAGAAGGGAATAAGAAAGAAAAAAGAATGAGTAGATAATTTTTTTTACACTTTTAATAGATTCAATTACCGTTAGCGATTACAATCAGACAAAAATTACAATTCATGAATAATACAGAATAAGAAAAAAAAAAAACGAACAATGGAGGGAAATTTACTCAGGTGAGACCTACACAATAACTGAGAAAAACAAATAACAGCCGATTTGATATTTTTACCTGATTTTTTGCGATGTGTGCGGAATAACGCAATTGTATTATGAGCTGCAAATGACTTGCCTCTGGAATACTTCGTAGCTCATAAAGGATATCAAAAATTTACCGGTTTAAATGAGTCCAAAACCTTTTTTAGTTCGTTGTAATTTTTTTTTTCATTTCAGCGGGAGGCCACAAACGCAAACTTAAGCTCAAGTAATTTATGCAGCTCATGTTTTGTAATCTGTAAGCTGACCTCAGCTCTCTTCGTTCATTGCAAAAATCATTTTAGACATTTTAAATAGCTCACCACCACCAAAAAGAAAAACAAACGAAAACAAAAGCGGCTTGTCATCAGATGGACCTGTATAATTTGAGAGAATGGTCTCGAAAATAAGTGTATGATATTTTGCCATTGAAACCTTCCAGAAATCGTAGACGTTCAATACTGCACAATACAAGAAGTGCCCATACTTGACAACCTGTAAATCTCGAATCATCGGTCGATCCTACTGTCGTCCGAGCAGCGCCGAAAAAATCCGAAGATACTCCAAGACCTTTAAGTGCATGAGAACTGGCAATACAAACCACAGGCATCCCAAGCTCACTGTGAGAGCGCTTTTTAACTGGCAGTATATTGCGTAATGAAGTAGTTTACGGGTTCAAATGGAAACTTTTATCAAACAGTTTTATTTCGCACAAAAAAAAAATCGCCTTTCATCGGAGCTTATTGCGAAGAAATGAAATGAAATGAAATGAAACTACCTGTGATGTGTGTTATGTTCCACTGTCGTTTTGAACAGATCTAGGGTGGTTTTGCGATCCTGCTTTAGTCTCAATTCTGAGGACCATTCCAGGGGGCACTCCCTATAATGGCCAATACCGGGAGGCTCTGCTTTCAAGGAGAGCCTTTTGCAGGCTTCAGGAATGTTTGAGTAGAGGACAAGAGGGATGCCGTATCCAAAACTGAAAAATGCAGCGGGTTGCCTTGTGCTACATTTGGTGTTATCTAGCTTCACGTGAGAATTGAAAAAGGCCGATCAGAACTGTTCTAATGGATAAGAATCCTCTTCTACCCTGAAGCGTGAGTTGGTCCTCCGAGCCACCTAAGTGCGTAGCCTATGGTCCTTCTAATGAAGGATAAGCCGCCGTACACACATAGCGGGGCACTCTTTAAATTACATATTTTTTTTACGCTGATTGGTGTGGATGACAGAGCCTTAAATCAATCTGGACAGCGATTTCAAAAAGATGCCGTTTCAGTCGTTTTGGTCAGCGGATTCACAGTTTCTTGTGGACGTGTTTAATTAATATGCAGTTTCAAAAATATCTGGCTTTTGCGGACGTGGCCTAAAACAGGATTGCAAATTAAACCAACCCAGATCGTTTCAAAGCGTCGTGACTGGAACAAAAAATACAGCACGGGTATTAAGTATGTTTCATTTCATTTCTTCACAACAAGCTAAGGATAATTTTTTTCGAAATAAAAATCGACCGCGATTCCTTGCGTTGGCAAATTTTATCACTTGTTTGTCCCCTGAGGAAAAACGCGTGACGCTTTTATCCCCTCAGCCACGTGCAAAAATGGTAGGAATCGTAAGGAAAAGCTGAAAAAAATGTATTCTTAGGGCTTGTTTACGCGGAGGTGGGGGACCCCAGGTAGGTGAGGTAACCCGCTTAGGTGGGGTAACCCGCCTGTCCATATAATCTCTTATTTTAATTTGATCTCGTTTACATGATATGCGGGGTGACCATATGGACAGGCGGGTTACCACACTTAAGCGTGTTACCTCACTTACCCGGGATCCCCAACTTCATGTCAACAGGTCCTTAAGCTTCCAACGTTTGGTAGATAAAAATTCCGCACACGCATAAAGATTTTCAAGGTAAAACAAAAATATCTCTATCTATTCCGTAGTATTAATTATTTTGAGTTTTTTGAAAATAATGTGGTTTCGAATCTTCTTAAACAGTTAAACTTGTATCTGGTTTCGCCCCGTACGCTGGTCAAGTCTTGGTTTATCACGCAGGTACCTGGGGCATGGTTTGCTCAGACGGCTGGGACAAGAACGATGCTTTGGTTGTTTGCAAGGAGTTGGGCTTTCCCGGTGTTACCATGGTAGCAAATTATGGGTTTTTTGGTATCGAGAAAACCATAAGCATAGAGCACATGGGTTGTTATGGCAATGAAACAAAGTTGAGCGAATGTTCATATAATACAACTTCAGAGTGGTCGCCATGTAGAACTGGAAGGTACAAGGGTGCAGGCGTTATATGTGAACCAAGCAACATCACAGATCCTAAGGGTATTTCTACGTTATCTCAGATCAACTCAGTTATAGTACCTTAACATGTCATTAATGCTCTGTTCGCACCGCAATTTTTGTTTTAAACTGTTTTTAGGCAACAAAATTTTTTGTTACCTACTGACAGCTCTTTGTCTGGTCGCTGATTTATTTCGCAAACATAAACAATTATTTTTAACAGTAGTTCCTTTAATTCATTTGACGTTTCTTGTTGCACGAAAACTTCTGCACGTCTCGGGTGCGAACAGGATTTAAAAAGGAAAAATTGTGGTAACTAAATCTTCAAAGTTTTGGCGAATGCCAAACTCTATTTCTTGTCATGGTGCAAACAGCGCATAACTGAGAATCAGTTGGCATTTTGTGTTTTCTCCAGTCCCGCTTTTTGCCTTCCCACCCCTCCAACCCTTTTTCTCTGGGTCGCCCGTCACTCCAATCTAATTATATCCCAACCATTTTTTTAGATGTTCCCCAAATCAGGCTAACCGGTCCCTCCCACAGAGAAGGATCAGGAAATGTTGAAGTATTTATAAACCGTCAGTGGGGAAGAATTTGTGACGATGCATGGGACTTGGAAGACGCCCGTGTAGTTTGTCGTGAGCTCGGGTTTCCGGATGCTGAATATGCTACATGCTGTGGCTGGTACTTTGGACAGGCGTCTGGACAACCGCTCATGGATACTGTGGAATGTACAGGAAATGAATCATCGCTGTTTCATTGTCGCCATATGGCAAGTAGTGAGGCATCGTGCAGTAGGAGGGATAGTGCTGGAGTCATATGCAAACTTAATAAGCCAAACGGTAAGAAAATCATTCATGTGGAGTGTGGGAAATTGGCGCCAGACGGAGACGACGAAAAGAGTTTTGAAAGAAATATAATCATTATCTGAAAAATTCACCAGGTTTATGCTAGGAATACAGTGCGGCAGCCGAGCTGTCGCCGAGCACAGGCGAGTTTAGGCAACTACGGCGCAAGAAACTTGGAGAGGAATACAGTTTATATTTTGAAAACAATACCTCTGTATACCACTCACTGGTGCATTGCTTGACCCTTTTCTATAAATTACAACAGAGCATCAAATGGTAAAAATTAAGGTTTTCTGGAGGCCCTTAGAATTGTAACAGAGAACCATGGAAAATTCTCCACTGTTGTAGAGAGAGGGTAGACTGCAAAAAAGTGGGTTTTTTCTTCACAATTGGTTTTTTAAGGCCTTAGCTTCGCGTGAGATTTTCGCGCGAAGCGTGCAGCCTCTTGCCCTGTCCTCAGTCTCACACTTCGTCCTTACCCTCGCTCCAAGAGTTTTGTTTGACCGTTTCCTCGTTCTTGACCGTTCTTTCCTCGTTCTTGACCTCGTTCTTGACCGTTCTTTCCTCGTTCTTGACCTACACAAAAAAATACGGGCTGTTCTACAGAGAGGGGTATGCCTTTTGCACTCGGTAGAGAGGAGAATGTATGATTTACATAGATTCTAAACCAATCATGGTATCGCAGAGTTAAGGCTCCGCTTTATTATTGTTCTACTTGGTCAATTTTGAGTGTAGGATGTGCATTACAACCCAGATAATATAATAAAAAGAGCTTGGTAAGGCTACAGTCACTGACACCAGACAGTCAGATCGTAAGGTAGCAGTTTAGCTATTGTTTGGGATTTTGAGGTGTTGCATTCTTGTTTTGTCTTCTCAGTTCGACTGGTGGGATCTCCGCTTGCGCATGCGGGTTTTGTCCAAATCCGCCCGCATGGTCGCTGGGGATCGTTCTGTGACTGGTCATGGGAGCTAACGCAAGGTCACGTGGTTTGCCGTGAATTAGGATATCGGCGGGCCCTGTACACAACTATTGGTGAATTATTTGGACAACAGTCCAGAGGGCCAATTTGGGTAGAGGAGGCAGTTTGTGATGGTAACGAGTCTTCAATCTTTAACTGTGATTTGAAGTACATCTGGGACTATGAAGATGTTATGGCATGCGATCACAGCCATAGTGCGGGAGTAATTTGTGAGTCAAACCACGATCCTAGATTGAACGGTAAGCTCATGGTAGGTTCGTTGTCTTTCATGAACTATTCAGTATTGGCGGCATAATAATATGTCGGTTATCAGGTGGGATTATTTTATTATAAATCACAGAGGACAGAGGCCGCAAATTTTTGTTGCTCGAAATATCTAAAATTCGTAACTGTTTATCCGGGATGCCTAAAATGTGTGCAATTCAACAATTGGTTTCGACTGCATTAAATATTATACTAATTGCAGAACATTTTAGGAGAAGCCATCCACAATGTAAGCACAGTTACTGACAAGGTGCATGAGTAGGAAAAAAATCCACGCCCTCTTATGTGTTTCACTTTTTTCCCTCTCATCATTTCTTATCATCTGAAGTTACTTCCTCACCTTGAGAATAAGCTTTTTTTCCTTCTAGAAACAGCCCTTGTAAGATTAAAAGGAAGCAATGTCACACACATGGGTCGCGTGGAAATAAAACGGCACGGTTTCTGGCACGGTGTGTGTAGCATTGGGTTTGATATACATGATGCTGACGTGGTTTGTCGACAGCTGGGATTCTCTGAAGCTGTGCTTGAAGTTGCGCATGGTCAGTTTGGTCTTGGTTCTGGACCCATGTGGTTAACTAGAATTCGTTGCCAGGGAAACGAGTCTTCGTTAGACGAATGCGTGAGTGCTGGTTGGGAACTAGAGCCAAGTTGCAGAGACAAACATGGCTCCGGCGTAGTGTGCAGAACGCCAAATATAACAAGCGGTAAGAAAGGCTCTCTCGCGATAGACTTAAGACGACTCTACTGGATTTTTCAGGGGCAAAACCTCCCAAGTTTGAGCATTAACTACGTCGCCATTTACAAAGATTAAGGAATGATCACAACAGCTGTATCGGATCATTAAGATAAAAATTGGATATGATCAGTTTTGCGTTGACATCGGAGATGTCATAGCAACTTAGTGACGTCATTTCCTATTTTACTTGCTGCTGTTTTTCTAGGCACTGGGCAGCTACTTTAAAAGCCAGCTTGAAAAATTGAAAGAAAGAAAGGAAAGCAAATGAAACCCGCTTTACGGACACCCGCTTAATACGAACAGTTTTCTTTGCCGCTGAAGGCTTCTCTAAATTTAACTTGAAATCTTCAGTTGACAGCATGTCGATGTTAACAGGGGTATAGCACATACACCGGACAGGATGAATTGCAAACGTCAATTTCAGGCTATTTTGGCATCGAACGAGTTATTCACAGAACAAACGGTTTTGATCAAGTAATATATATATGAACGATTATTGATTTTTTTAGACGATTTAGTCCGTGAAATAAAGGCTTTGTGAAAAGTTAAAGATGTTTAATTTGACGATGCTGATGTCCTCTTCTATTTCTTAAGTATTTGTTCAAATAAAAGGGGCTTATAACAGAACCCACAAAAACGGACATCCCGTTAATTCGGACTTTTTCTGTGGCTCCTTGACATTGTAGGTATTAATGGGAGTTTGAATGTATCCGTAAATACTGTTGAAGAGGTTTTATTTCACTTAAAAATTCACGCTGTATGATTTTATCCACCGTATCAATAGTTAAAGCCAGAATATACAGTTAAGTAATAGGTACCCTGTACAAACAGTTTAATTTAGAGACTCAGAAGTTCTCATTTCATTTCCAATTCTTCTAATTGGCTCGGGATAAGCCAGTGTGGTTATTGAAGTAACAAAAACTGAGAACAAGTACCACTGGGGTAACATTAATATTAAGAACAAATCTGCTCGTACTTTGATTGTTCAATCAAGAGCTATTATTATCAAGTTGCTATGTTAACAGCGGTGAAGTTAGAATTATTGGTGTGTTTTGGTTTCTTTGGTAGATGGCAAAGTTCGACTTCGTGGATCTAGAAGTTCTAACGCTGGAAGAATAGAAGTAAAGTTTGGAGGTGTATGGGGCCTTGTATCCGAGAGAGGCTGGGACATCAGGGATGGTCACGTGGTATGTCGGCAGCTTGGATATCTTAAGGCAGTGCGCGTGTATACGCATTCCAGGTGAAACTGAGAACATAAAACAACTACAGTCGACTCCCGATAACTCGAACCCTCGCTAACTCGAACCTCGCGCTAACTCGAACCAAACTCGATTTCCCCTGGATTTCCGTTATACATTAACCGTAATTTGCCCTCGGTAACTCGAACCCTCGATAACTCGAACTCCCGCTAACTCGAACCAGTTTTCGTTTCCCCTCAGGTCATTTTCTATATAATTTTACTCTCGATAATTAACTCGAACCATGTTTTGAGCCCTTGAAAGTCTTGAAAAAAGCCTTCTTCTGGCGTCCGAAACATTGAATTTTGGATTTCCTAATGACGTGTTGTAGGAGTATAGTTTATTAGTGGAGGCTGATGTTGATTTTTTTGTCACAGGCTAACGTGAAGCAGCTGTTCTTCTCAAGTGAAAACAGTAAAACGCATGCTCTGTTTAGGCCATGTTTTGTTACGTTACGTTCTGCTTTATAATCTAGAAGTATCTTTTAATTTTCACTTGACATTTCTACAATTAAATGTGATTCAAATGTTCCCTGTGTAGTAAAAACTGTTTTTTACCTTACTCTCGGCTATTTTCTTCGAACTCCCGATAACTCGAACTCCCGATAAGTCGAACCTTTTTTCGATTTCCCTTGAAGGTTCGAGTTATCAGGAGTCGACTGTAATAAAAACTAAATCTATTTTTACAACAAGGATAAGAAACGCGGTTCATGAATTTATTATTTAGCTAAATCGTGCTTCGGCAAGATGAAGGGAATCCTGTGTTCTGACTGGCTAATAACCAAGCGGCCATGCAAGATGGGCCCATGTTACCCCGCCCGGATTGGTTCCGCAAGGACAAGTTTGCTTTTTGGTCATGAATAAATATTTTATGGGCCAAGCTTGATCGGTCAAGATGGATTTTTAGCAAAGTTCTTTTTTGGATTTTTATGGACCGGGACATTTTCGAGGTCAATAAGAACCCTGGCTGGTAATCGTTGTAAGGTGGAAGAGTTTCTTTAGTACATAATCATCGGGATTTCAGAAACAAAACATGAAATTAAATAACAACATCTTGATGGTTACTTTAGGTACGGTTCGGTGAATCTGAATATATGGCTGAGTGATCTGCAGTGCAGCGGAGAAGAAGAGCGTCTGTTGGATTGCCCTAGAGAGTTGAACTACGACCTCTACACATTTGCAATGCTTAACGCTGGGGTTGAATGTACAAACGATACCAATTATACTAGTGGTAAGTCCTCATCAAATGTTAAAACGTAGTAGTATTTCATTCAGAAAAACTCCAACGCCTTTTTTTTTTCTGTTTCTATTTTCGTCATATGCGAAAATCGAGCTAGATAAAAAAACGTGGAAAAAATAAACGTGAACTAAATGTACCGTCGTTCAAAACACAAATTTAAGGATGTGACATCTAGGAAAAGTGCACACGCAATTGCTTCGACCAAAAAATTACTGCTTTATCTGTATGTGAAACGTCCAAGCCATCATTAATCTAACAAGGAAATGGCTGAGTTCCTAAGCGTTCTCTCTGGTCTCTTTGACCGTGTGAAACCACCGTCGCGAAGTCTGGTGCGGAGTTCAGGCTCGTTCATTTCGGTTACGCCTAAGCAAGTAATAGTTTCCAGCTCTAACCGAGCAGGACGGCCTGTATATAGGAACTAGGCTGGCTGTTCCGATACAGAATGTTTGATTTATCAAATGCCCCTTTAGCAAGGAGAGCACCAGAGGTCTTATTTTAGGTGACTGATTTTCAACAGAAGTGGAAGCTCGCTTGGTCGGTATGGAAACGCCCAACGCAGGTCACGTGCAAGTTAAGTATAATGGTACGTGGGGGACGATTTGTGCATGGCGAGGTCTGCCGTATCAAACAGCGAAAGTTATATGCAGGCAACTTGGTCTCAGACCCCCAATAAAGAACATCTTCGGGAATAAAGAATGCACGGCAACTAATCGCGGAGCTAAAAGAGTATGGCTGTCCAACCTGAACTGTCAGGGATTTGAAAATTCTGTCGACGAGTGTCCTCACAGAGGCTGGGGAAGACTAGACTCGGAGTATTGTCGAGGATGTACGCCTCGTCATTGTAGTGTGTGTTTGATTTGTCAGCCACAAGACACAAATATTACAGGTAAAGAGAACAATAATGTAATCTAGATAACATCAAGCATGTCGCTGACAACTGAGGGATTTTCTTTTCCTCACAATCACGTTCTGCTTCATTTTGAAAACTTAAGTTAGAACTTCCTTTTAGTGATGTCAACAGTTTCTGACCATGCAAAAGAAAAATTCAAAGCAGAGTCATTTCATGCTGTGGTGAATGTAATGTGCCTTAGTGCGAAGATTAGGTTGATTGAAAACGTTTTTGAACTCGGTGCATGTGCTGTCCCTTAAATTTTTTTATGGATAGTTATGATCGTGACAGTTCAAATAGTTTTTGTTTGTTATTGATATTTACACCAAGAAAGTTTTGTTTTCACGAACAGACCTCCATCTTAGAATGGTTGGATCAAATCTTTCGTACGCTGGCCGTGTGGAGGTTAAGTATGCAGGAGTCTGGGGAGTAATATGCCCGCGTCACATGAATGGCTCTGTTTTTAGAGTAATCTGCCGTCAGCTTGGTTATGTTGGTGTCATGGGAGATGAAAGCTTATATACAAGAAGGAGCTTACAACTCTATGGAGACTCAGAGGGCCCTGTTTGGTTGAGCAAAGTATACTGCGATGGAAATGAAACATCCTTGGCACAATGTAAGATTGAGAGTCTGGGAGAAATTTTGTGGTGCTCACATCACGAAGCCTTGGAAATAATGTGTCAGCCAAAGAATTATACACCACGTGAGTAGCACTGTGTAAGTAAGAAGAATTATCATTCGAAGCAAATTTTTCTTTCTTTTCATTGGCCGAGAGCCCACCACGTGACCTGCAAATAACTGCGTACAAATAATGGTCTGCTCATGCGCAAAGCCGTCCAACTGTGTTTGGCTGCAAATAATATTCTGCTCATGCGTAAAGGAAACCGTGCTTTTCTTCTTCTTGCGATCGCTCTTGCGTGAAAATGGCAAATCTCTTCGCTTCCCAAAGATATTCATTGAAAAAATGAACTCGGTGATCGAATAATAAAAAAATTATTGAACTCGGTTATCGCAAAATATCGTGATCTGTCAGTGTCTCGCAGATCATCAATTATTTGCCGAAGCCGAATAATTGATCTGCTCGCCACAGACAAATCACGATATTTTGCTCAACCTCGTCCAATAATTGTTCATTATTTTACATTATACACACCATCTGTCTTCTCATTGGTTAAGAGCTTCCTAGGGTTTTTTTTGGAAATCGGCACCACCTATTGATTAGTTAGTTATCTGCCATTAGATGACTGACTAATCTGTAGGTTGCGCGCGTAATGCATGGTTTCCACGAACAATGTCGAACTATGTTCCATGCGATTGTGTGTTTGTCGTTATTTTCTTCAAAACGATGTTTAACAAAACAGTTATTTGATTCGATTTCTTTGCTATCCTCTTAGTAAGTGGTATCAGCCGAGACCAATACCTCGACCTTGATCATTCCGGATTCAAAAAAGAACAAGAACCTCATCCAGTAATTGTTTATTAGAGTCACGCTTAGCTTCATCTTCGTTCATGGGAGAACTCGTAGTCCGCCTAGAACCCTGAAAAATTATAGAAAGGGAAAATACTTGACTTGCCAAGAATTTAAAACATGTGTGTGAAGACGTAATTCTTGTTTTTTTTCCCCGCTGGTTACCGTAGCTACACTAAAACACTCGATATATTTTAGTCACAGAACACCCCTAAGTCAATGACAGGATAAGTCCACGTATATGTGTAGACGCGACCTAAATCAGAGGAAAGATTATAGGAAAATTAGAATTTCCCAATCAGAAAAAATGTATAACTGATATTATCAATCGCTTTACCTTGACTTATCCTGATTTATTTAGCATATCCGATCCGTTTGGCTGGATCATCAGTAGCACATGCTGGTCGACTGGAAGTTCTATATAATGGAACTTGGGGTACAGTGTGTGGTGGTGTGTACGATTGGAGTGTTAGAACTGCAAATGCCTTGGTTGCCTGCAGGCAGCTTGGGTTTGGATTACCTATAAGGTCAGTACAACAGTCAAAATTTTCCGTAAGTGAAAACAGCCGTTTCTCCTCGCTCCTCGACGCTGGAGACGTTTCTCGAGGAGGAACGTTTGCGAATTAGTAGCCTGCGAAAACATCCGTTTCTCCTCGCTCTTCGCCGCTGGGGACGTTTCGCGGGAAGGAGTCTGCGACTCAGAGGCAGAAATTCCATGCTGATGACGCAAAGCAATGTTAACGTAATAAATCTGGTAGTCATGGGGTTCCAAATATAAATTTGTCCTATTTTACGTGTTTTGTGGTCGATTTTGGTAAAGTGTTGTGTTTATCTGACAACGAGCTCCAGCGAAACTCAAATGCTTCTTCTAGAGAAGACTATATTCCACAAATATTTTTGCATATCAGACTGGGACTGTAAATGTCGATCAAATTAAACGACGAAAAAACTTTTAAAGTAGACGATGGCAGGGTAAGGCGGCTGAATACGGCATTTTACGATTTATTGAAGGCATTTATTTCTGATTTCTATACTTATTTTTACATACAGATCAACTATCAGCTGGCTAGCCCCAAAATTTTCAAACTGTCCGTCAAGTACCCACGCCACAGGGGCCATTTGGTTGTCCAATGTCCGGTGCAAAGGAACTGAAAGCTCATTGGACCAATGTCCCAGTCTTGGATGGGGTAAAGCGAATAAACATTGTGATCACGTCTCAGATGTATGCCTGGTCTGCGATAACTCACAATGTCATAATATGGGTGAGTTTTTTAAGTTATGTTACCGCTATCGTCCTATAAACAACGCATTAAGTACAATCTAATCCTGTGACAAAATTCTAAAAGTTCAAATTCGACAAAATTTTCTCATTGAGTGGCTGCTTTCACTGTTAACGGACAATATTTTGGCTTTATATAGCCAGAGAAAACAAACATTTTTTGACGCCACCGCTGGTTTCTCCGCGAAATTTCATACTGATTTCGTGTCAAAATATGGGTGTTGATTCTGATTGGTCGAAAAAAGCAGAATATTTGGTTGAAAAAGCAGAATATTTTAAGTGTACAGCAAATAACAACTCTCAACGTTCAGCTCCAGCCCAGGAGAGTTAAAAAAGTTACCTATGTCATTTTTAAATTGTCGCTCTATAGAAATAATGGTCCGTTTAAGTGGTTCTGAGGTACCTTATGCTGGCCGCGTAAAAGTACGTTATCAAGGAGTCTGGGGAACTTTATGTGCATCTGAATGGAAAACAGAGACCTCTGAAGTATTGTGCCGGCAGCTCGGATACAAGGGCGTTGAACTAGATTTCACTGAGCACAATAAATACTGGTACCCACCACTAGACATATATGACGCCGTTCGAGGACCAGTGTGGTTTAATGGTGATGGATGTAATGGAAAGGAAAGGACTCTGTCCGAATGTCAGTTACGTCAGGAACCGCACTGTGGCCAAGATGATCCTCAACTAATCTGCAAGGTTGAGAATTCTTCTGTTGACGGTGAGTGATTTGATTCAAACATATCCCTAGAAAGACGTGCCACTGCAAGTGCTTATCACACGGCCTGTCGCATTGAACTTTGACGCTTTTCACAAGCAGCACCCCCTTAAAACCTTCAGCGCGTTGTAACTGCGCATGCAAAGAGTAATTTTAACATAAATCAGTCTGCATCTGTGTTGAAAATAGAAAGAAAAAAATATTGGTTGTGAAATATGTTCTCTCTGATTTTTTCTTACTGGCTTTAGCGTCAGGTTGGGCTTTAGGGTTGCTCCCTACTGCACTGAATATAAAGAAAAGCCATTAAGACTTCATTACTGTGGCTGAGTTAAGAATCGCGTATAGTATATATATTTTCTTACAACTTTAGTATGTGTGTTCTCTAACAAGCGTAAATGCTGGCGTGTATTATGCCCTCTTGAGCTCAATTTAGGTTACCAGACTACTAACCCTGTAAACTTCTCTTAAAATATAAGCACCGTTTCTCTTTTAACAGTTTTTCCAGTTAGGCTAGGAGGGAGCAATCCCAGGGAGGGCCGCGTAGAGGTCTTCTATGGTGGCCTTTGGGGCACAGTAGGAACTGCAAAATGGGACTTTAGAGATGCTTTGGTACTGTGTCGCCAACTTCGATTCAGCCATGTCCAAAACACATACACAAAGAAGTTTAAAGGAAGTACACGAGTGTTTTGGTTTGGTGATTTTGAATGTCAGGGGAGTGAGGCAACATTAGGCCAGTGCAGACACAGGTTAATTGCAAGAGCCTTCTTCGATGATGATGAACCCTTTGATGTGTATGTACGCTGTAGCAATGGCACAGAGACTGAAACAGGTAAATCAATTCTAGAAAACTGTGCCCAGTTGTTCAAAAGGTGAATAAAGCGCCCATTTAACGGATGAACCTCTAACAATTGGATTCGGGTGGATTTCCACTGGCACGTAATTTTTACCTTCGTTCGGCGAGTAATTTACACGCGTAAATAAGATAGAGGCGATGTATGAAAGGCCACGCGTAAACGTGCAAGTTGAGCGAGGTTCAACTTTTACGTTTACGCGCGACCTTCCTTACATTGCCTATATTTCATTCTCGCGCAAAAAAATTACGTGCGTACGCACGTAAAAATTACGATTAATTAGATTAGTTCAATTCACCAAAACTCAATTGGTCTATTTAATTACGTTTATCCACAGGGTAGGGATTTTTTCTATTAAAAATTCTATCAAAATTTAATTGGAACAACTGGGTCAGGAAATTTTAATACATTATCTCATGAGTTTAACGGAATAATATTGAATCGACATGCTTAGCTACTGTAGGAAGACTTCGACAGAAGTTATGATTGATGTGACCTTCTTTTATGTACAGGGTCAGTTACCATCCGGCTTGACAGTGTTGCAGTTTTTTATTACATTCGTTTGCTTTCGAAAATAGGATAGGACTTGTCGAGAGAGTTAAATCACTCCGCAACGGATGGTTTAAACTACCACTCTTGACACAGCTTTCATTGCTGCTCATTGGTAGAGATCCTACCCTGTTCTAATTGGATAAGTTGTTATTTTTGGCACGAAACATGAATCCACAAATAGCCAAAGTCTAATACAGTTGTGAAACAGGCCTTATCGAAGAGATAACTGCTCCGGGGTCATGGGCTCTTGCTAATGGGGAATATAGAATCTTCTTTTTCAACATTATGTATCTTCGTTCTTTTTCGTTTTCATTAATGCTGACAGTCGTCAACTCTGCAAGGCTCACCTCATTAGCGACGTCCATGGCTTCGCTCACCAGTCATTTGCCAGTTTTATCTACGAACACTCCAAGGAATTCTTCCTCGACAACGTCTATGGTCCCAATTACTATTTATTCCACAATTTCATCTACTACAACGGAAACAAACACATGGAAGCTTGCTCCCACTAGCACTTTTATTGCTCAAGGATCGCAGCTTCTGTCGATACCAGCAACAGAGGGCTCTCCGATTTTGTGTCCGAACCAACCTTGTCAGAATGGGGGAACTTGTGAAAAGACGACCTGTCGCTGTTCCGAAAAATTTGCAGATGTTTATTGTGAAGTTTACGTTGGTAAGTAGAACACTTCAATAGACCAATTTGTGCTGGTAATAAAATTTGCGGCTGAATTTCGATCTAAGCTAGAAAAACATTAAAAAAAGCGACTTGACAACGGTCAGGATAAACATATCTGTTCTAAAGTCCCTAGTGTAATGCCGCTTCAACTTCGTTGGGAAATTTTTTCCCTAATATTTTCCCGCCCAGCATGCCCACTATAATTCATATAGCAAATAGATGGAATAAATGAACAGACAAACAAATGAATAAATAAATACCAAGGATAGAATTAAATTGAAAATTAACCTTGATATAATAGATTTTGTATAAACTTACACCTCTGTAATATTGTAGGTGAAAATGCTGTTTCCATGGTATTGAAAATGATTCTGGATCAAGTAAGTCCGACTCTCTCCTTGTTCATAGTACATTGAATAGGTAGGAAATGCCATATATCAGTTTACGGATGTGATCAGTCTATGATCAGGGTATATATTGCGTACACTGGTAGAGCCGTATCCACAAGTACATTTTTTCAGGGATTTACATATTATGTTTCGTATGGGTTTCGTATAAGTTTACATGGTTATGTTGTCAGTAAGTCAGTTTTCCTTTGGTGCATAGCTCAATTGTACCTCAAAATCGTGTCTTGCACCTTGGTTACTGGTCGTCGTAAGTTGCTTCCGTAGACTTTCATCGGACGCCATTTTTTCTTCACACCCCTGATTTCGTATTGTCTAAAGTCACAGCACTCAACGTACTGCGGTGGGAAAAAGGCGCTTCTAGGCGTAGCAAAGAGCCTAGAAGTGACCCAGCTTCGTGTTCCCCGGCGTGGGCGCCATTTTGGAAAATTGGAAGACGTCATCATGCATATCCAGTTCTGCTTGTGGCCCAGACTGGTACCAAATGAATTCTCCTTTCGTCTGTGAGCGAGTCGTCATCAGTTACACAAGCTGTTCTGTAAGGTCTCTGGCCTGTAAAAAGACGTTGTTTTCTTTTCTTTTCGAAAATTGAAGAGCGAGCGCGCGCGGTTTTTTTTTCATACGCGCACTCGACGATCTCTTGATTAAGTGAAAATAGAGGGTCTGTGAAAAGGCTATAAGTCCTCGTTTAAACCAGTTATTTTAACTTTGTTTTTTAGTGGAATGCTTCCGAGTTCAAAAGAAATCTAGCTGCTGTTTTAACAAACCATTGTAGCCTGAACCCATGTTTGAAGGACAACGTGTAAGTCGATATTTTAAATGCTCTTTGTTAAAGAATTGACCCATGATCAATCATGGACAAATGTCTTGGGACAAATTTGCATTTGCTGCGCTTTTTTAAATCACACTTGCCCAACCCCTTCTGCAACCCCACAAACAACGTCAGGACGCGTGTATCCAGAAATTTAACCCCTAAGTTTCAACGTTGTATAAGATGTGGGGAGAGGATCTGCAAAGTATTTTCCCAAAGGTAACAATATATCCGTAGAACTCCAAAGAAATAGCAAGTAATAATAAAATATTAGGACGCAAACTAACAAAGATTCTCCAACAAAAAAACAACCCGCAGGCCCCCCCCCCCCCCCCAAAAAAAAAAAAAAACCGCGCAATTGCTTAATAAACCATTCTACTTCTTTCTTCCATCAGAAATCCAGATACACAAAGCCAAAAAAAGGCTCTGACTTTTCAGCCTGATGATATAATCATACTTCAGGGATACCCAAAGACTTGGAAGGACATGGAACTCTTAAGTGTAAAACTGGTCGTTAAAATGCCAACGGATGCTAACAATAGCATAATACCTCATAAAATTATGAAGCAGCTACTGACAAAGGTAGCACCTGAAATTGAACAACAGATGGGAATCAGAGTCGTTTTTATTGGCGAGAAGGAAATCATTTCAGCATCACCCGATGCTTCTGGTCGCAACTCAGATAAATCGCGGAAGTCTTCCTCGACGCATAGATCAGTTTTGATAGCTCTTGCGGTCGTTGTTGGCTTAGTGTGCTTGGTGGCCATAGCCACGATTGCTTGGTATCGTCGTAAAAAGAAAAGGTAGGCAAGGGAGGTAGCTAATTTGAAGGTAATCAGTCAGATAACTACAGTCTGTAGTAAGTGTCAAAAATGGGACCGTTTTAAAGACAGGTGTCAAGCAACTACTGTAGCCAACTGACATGAGCAAAAAAAAGCGCATGCGTAAGGTACTGGCCATACCACGGAATGTGTACATGTGCTTCAGTGCTTAAATTGGTTTATAACAAAGCTAGAATATTCGCCCAATCAAATTCAATAGCGCGAGCGTGCTTCATATTCCCATAAAGCACGCTGATGACGTCAATAAACTATACCTCGAGTACCTATGAGCTTAGCAATCCTCCCAAGACGTACTCCAAGTGAATCCATAACTCAACAGTACACGATAAAGCGTTAACGATGTGTTTTATAACGTAAATTTAAGAGAAAATGTTTGAATTTGTTAACCGATCGAAGGGAAGAGAGGTGAGTATTGTTGTTGTTGTTATCTGTGCGAGCTGTGCGGGCTATGGCGTGTGCAAATCATTCTTTGCAAAGTTATTTCTTTCAAAAAGAATTTTTCGGTGAATTAATAGTTTTCCGGCACTTCAATATGGTTGTTATGGTTGTTATGTTATGTTATCTTAAGCGGCTTGAGTAAACTTTCTCTCAGTTTCAACACAAAAACGTAACTGTGAGGTGAAAAAATGAGTGCGCGTTACAATAATAAAAATTTAAGTCAGCTGTTTCCTTTATCGCTTTGGTAATGTTATAAAACAATTAGTTCATGCTTCAGCTGTGCGTATGTCGAGATATTTAGCACTTGGGAAGTTCGGAGAGCACTCAAGAGGCTAGAGTTACTCTCAGCAGTGACTCGAACAACTCTTACGCCTCTTTCGTGCTTTCCAAACTTTCCGCGTCCTCAGTATCTCGACATACGCACGCTGACTCATGAACTAATTGTTGAATTGTTTACACTCAGAAAAAAGCTACTGCAATGAGTTTTATGGCCCCATATTGATGGATTCAACAACGTTGGGTGAACTCTATTGACTCTAGAAAAAAAAACAGCGTACGTTGGACAAATAATAATAATAATGCCAAATAAGAATAATATCGATGAAATCTAACACAACATGAATTCATTTTTTAGAAGATATTAATCAAAAGAATGTTTCATGTAAATGTACGGGTGGCGTCAGCGTTTTGCAAGCTCTATTCTCGGCTTGCACTGTCACGCACTAAAAAATAAAAATGCAAACCATTCAATGCAGAAGGAGTAGAATCTGGGAAATGAAAAAAGATAAATATACAAAAACCCTTGCCAAGAATCAGGTCTGTGAAATATTTCAAATGCGAGATATTGGGAAAAACGGTTTACCTAAATTTATAAAGCTTTGTATGGAAACGCCATGTTGGTGTCCCTTTCAGGAACACAAATATGGCCGCCGGATACCACCAGAAACATCTGTTTTCGAGTTTTCCTACTAATGCGTGAATTCTTAGCTTGAGGAACTCATAAAGATAACAGTAATATTTATTCCGAGACAAGGAATGTTTAGATTGCAAAATCTCTCAAAATCGGTAATGTTTTTAACCCACATAAGAGCTTTCCCGGCCGCCAGCTAAATGCCGCGTCACGCACAAGCCTGGAAATTCAAGCGTCCTCTCTCGCAAAACGAAGAACCCTTTCGAACCAAAAATTTGTTTATGTAAAGATGTTTAGGTACTGTAATACCTCGTGAAAGTAGACAAGAAACTTTATTGAAGTACTGTCCCTTTTTTTTTTCCTTTAGAGCCGAGAAGATGACACTTAAGCAAAGCGATGATGAGGAAAAAGAGGAAAACGTTCGGCTGGTGGAGCTTTGAAGATCATCGTCATAAAGGAACAGGCCCTAATCGTTGAGAACATAGTTGTAAAAGCCATTATTTATTGTCGACCTTCTCTCCTCATATAGCTCAGTTATAAGAGCAAGATTAATTTTTAGACTCCAGCTTCCTGTACATTCCAATAAGTTTTTCTTTTGTTTTGCCAAGAAGGCAATGGTTGGTGCTACACTAAGGGCGATTTCCAAACTCAGAACTAACCGACCAGACCGGTCATTTTGAAAAGAAATATTCGTCTTCCCTCAAACGTTTTACTAAAACCCATCACTGTTGTGCACTGATACCATTTAGGAATAAGCATGACCTAGCTGGAAAGCACTGATTTGTAGTGAAATTCCTGTTACGACTGGACTGGCTGGACAGCGAGGTCTGACAAATGGTAAATGCCCTATGATTATCGTATTTATAGGCTAGTTTTAACGGTACTGCAGCTTAGATTAATGCACTCCCGGGATGATCCTTATTTTGACTAGCCTTCGTAGACACAGAGTGAAAGAAAAGAGTTCGGTTAATATTAAGTTGTGTCCCTTTTTTGTGGAATGCTATAAGCGTTAGTGTCCTCAAATTCCCCAGATAAGATATCAAAGTCGGGTGTTATTCATATTGGTATAAGTGATCACTCTGCTATTTATCTTACAAGCAAAGTTACTCATCTTCACTCCAATATGCACAAAAATGTGTAAGTCCGACAGCTCAAGAATTTCAATGAAGCTGAATTTTTGCGAGATCTTCGCATGATTAACTGGAACTGCGTTACAACGCGCAATAACCTAAATGAAATGTGGGTCTTTTGGAAACACCTGTTAGCGAGTGTTATTGATAAACATGCACTATCAGAACAAAAAGGGTTAAAAACAAATGCTCTCCCTGGATTGCTAATGTGCTGTTGCGTGAAATACAAAAAAGAGATTTTCTAAAAAAGAAAGCTGCATCTACAAATGACCCTTCGATTCGGAAACAGTTCAAAGATGCAAGAAATAAGGCCAGTAACTTAGTGAAGAAAGCTAAACGTAAATACTTTTCTGAAAACTTTGAGGCAAACAAAAGTGACTCCAATCTCGGCAAAGTAAATCAACCAAAGCGTCTCAAGTCAAAACAGGAAACCAACTTTTCACCTCACCTGGTGATATTGCTGAAGCATTTAACAATCATTTTACAACATAGGCCAATCTGTAGCACATGAAATTCCTGGTACGGAAATTGGCCCACTTGCCAATGTTTATCCTGTTGACGGAGTATTTTCTTTTCAACGGATTAATGTTTAAAAGGTCGTCAAATTACTTAAGGCTATCGATGTAGGTAAGGCAACTGGGCTTGACAAAATTCCAAACAGGCTTCTGAGGATTGCTGCCTATGTTGTCGCGCCCTCTTTAACGGGCATCTTTAATCAATCGTTAGTGACTGGTATTTTCCCCTCTGACTGGAAACTGGCTAAAGTGTCACCAATTTTTAAGAATGGCTCTAAGTCTGACCTAAACAACTATCAGCCTATATCTGTCACTCCTACCGTAGCCAAAATTTTTGAAAAAAATTATCTATGTCTTGAGCAGCTATATTAATATCTGAATGAAGATGGTTTATTAAACAGCGGCCAGTCTGGTTTCCGCTCGCTACACAGCACTCTTACTGCCTTGTTGGAAAAAAACGATAACTGGTGTGCCAATATTGATAGAGGTCTTCTTAATGGCGTAATCTTTATTGATTTGAAAAAGGCCTTTGACACTATACCGACCACGAGATAATTCTAAAAAAACTTACCAAGTATGGCGTTGATCAAGACGCCCTGAAATGGTTTAAATCTTACCTAACTAACCGTATGTAAAGATGTAATGATTTAAAAAATCATCTATCTAGCGCGAGCACTCTAAGGGTCAATAATTTGTCCTCTTCTCTTCTTTTCTTGATCTATGCAAATGATCTACGAAATTGTTTGAATGTGGGCTCTCCTAGAATGTGTGCCGACGACACTAATGTTACCTCTTCTGCGGCTACTATACCTGATGTTGAGTCCCAAATCAACAGTGACCTGAAATATGTTGATCGTTGGCCCAAAGCTAATAAGTTAAGTCTCAATGTAGCCATAACAGAGTTTATGGTTATTAGTTCGAGGCAGAAACTACAGTCCTTAAATGAATACACAATGAATATTCATATAGACGGCGTCCCAATAAACCAAAGCAATCAAAGCAAATCTCTCGGGCTTACCATTGATGAAAATCTCTCGTGGAAGGTCCACATCCATGAAATCTGTAAAAAAGTATTTAAGCGGATCAGGCCATTTGTTTCAATGTACCCTGCAATTAAAATATACAAAGGTCTTATCGAGCCACACTTCGATTATTGCAGCGCTGTATGGGATGGTTTGATCCAACAGTTTAGTGAGAAACTTCAAAAACTTCAAAATCGTGCGATCAGAGTTAACACCAAATCTAGCTATGACTAGTTCCAGATTTCTTCTTAACTTGCTTGGTGGGGACAGTTTATCAGTTAGAAGGGCTAAACAAAAGGCTAATTTAATGTACAAGTGCATTAATAATCTCGCCCCAGCCTATCTCTGTAATTTGTTTTCCCCAAGAACACCGAATTACTATTTTCGCAACGTGACGAAAAAATTAATGCTCCCAAAACCAAGAACTGATTACCTGAAGTGTAGCTTTAGTTACAGTGGCGCTCTTCTATCGAACAGTCTTTCTGAGGAAATACGTACATCAAATTCCTTAGGTCTCTTTAAGAGAAATTCCCATAGATGGTTTTTTGATCAGTACTCCCACATTTTAAATTAGTTTTCTATGTCAGACTGATGTTTTTCACCGTGCATAAATAAAGTTATCATTCATTCATTCTGAGGGCTGAAAAATTCAGTGGCGAGAAATTTTGTTGACGCAGAAATATCCGCGGGTAGCATCCCTTGTGTGATTGTTTTTAAATGCACTAAAGATAACCATGGGTCTTCTAACGCGACCTCGTTTTGAGAGGAAAGCAAAGTGCAATGGCTAATCCCAAAGAAATTTTTATCTTTGAGAATCAAAATGTTTGCTCAGGCAAAGCCAGGGAAGACAATGCGATTTGAGCCAACTGACAAAATTAAGAGATTTTTTCCAGAGGGAACTGTTGTTATGTATACATATAGTTCAATAAAGGTCCTCGTCATCCATTTAC